TCCCCATGTTAACCTTATGAGTATTCATATTTAAAGGGAATTAAAGAATTTAGTCAGCTGTTTCAACTAAAAAAATTTGGTTCTATGATATGGAAAAGCATTAAAAAGTTATAAGATTTACCAACAGGGTGCAGCACTATATTTTTTTGCATTTATGAAAACAGCTAATTTGAACTAAGTAGCAACAAAAAACTGTGATTCGCAATGAGAACTGTCAAAGTAGGATTGTTTACAGTTATGTTTATGTTTTTCATTTCATGAATAATTTGTGATATTTTGCGAATTGTTGATAATTTATTTTTCTCTATTGTTTAGGTGAAGTGGTAGAACATTATGGCTATGGTAGATGTGTAATACTATAGAATACTGTAAATTTAAAAAAGCAAATTTTATCAAACTGTGTCCTCCCTTATTGCAAACGCAAAGCTTGAGTATAACTGCAATAAGCATTTTATACTTATATTCCAACCCCGTACGAAGGACGGGTACTCTGCTAGTTAAAATATATTTAACTGAAAATCAATTCAGACAAATGGAATTTCGCTTAGTCGGCAGGTTTGCTGCGGCGGGGGTATTTATTATCAAAATAAGTAATGAATTATTAATTTTTGATAACACATGGGTCATTGAATACCATAATGTCGTGTAGTTTCCTATTTGTAACTTGCAAATAATAAAAATTGATAGTTAATTCTGGAAGATGAAAAATAGTGAACGCATTCATAAACCTGTTGTCAAAACAGCAACGCGGGTGTAAGGGTTTATTGTTTCAGAGGCTAGGGTGTTTCAAGGAAAAAGTGTTGGGCCTCCCGGCTTAGGTGGGGAGGGGTGGTGGTTAGAGGGGGAGGAAACTGGTTTTCGCTATTTATTGATTAGTTCACCAACCCTTCTAGACAACAAAATTGAGTGACAGTGACAGTGTTAAATCACCGTGTTCTGTATTTCATTTCTTGTTTACTTTGTGTGTTATTCTATTAATTTTAATGTTTTTTTCTATTTCCTCCTGGTCCCTTGTAAATTGTATTATCAATGCTAAATAATTGTGGTCAATTCAAATTATATTTTTGATTATTCAAATCTCCTACACAAAAAGACAAAAGTCAAACCAGGCAAGGAAAAAACCTGCTATTGTAATCCCCGTACCCAGCCATTTGGGAAGTGGTGAGTCTAGTCTAAATATAGCTCAAACGTCTCACCCTTCCCTTCCCCCCTTCCAACCCCCTACTCAATGTTACTATTCCACTCATTTCGAGGTCATTACACAACGCCTCCCTCCCTTCTATTGTTTTGCCTTTATAGTGTTTCTATTCTGACTTTTATAAACATAAATTTATTGCTTACGTAACAGTTCAGTAGTGGAATTTTCTATTGTGAAACAGTAGGCCTACTTTAAAACAAAATCACTACCGATCATGTCATTCTATTCTGTTATATTCTTGAGTGTGGCAGATTGCGTGAAAATATAATAACAATATCTATGGTTCTTACCGTCAACGCAATCAGGGGTAATATTCCACTACGGCCGTTTCGTGTGTCCGTCCTGTGCTTGTATGTGTATTATTTATTCAACCCCTGACGCAATGCAAATGAAGACAATTCGTGTTACATGTGACAAGACTATAGTTTAGTGTACCACTACGCACCTGACGATGGAGTCATCTCCGAAACGGCCGTAGTGGAATATTACCCCTGATTGCGTTGACGGTAAGAACCATAGATATTGTTATTCTATTCTGTGTCAAGTCAGTATACCATTGCCAGTCAGTCGCCGGCGACTGCTTTGAGTTGACCTATTCTGTCGTGACAGCTATAAAAATAGGTTAGGACAACTACCTCTTGCTTATTTCTATATTTGTATGACTGTAGAATCTACAGTAATACAAATTATCCATCATTTTATGTAAACACAAGTTACATTTCAACAAATATTGATCTTTTACAATTTTAAACCAAACTAGTGAGTTCAAAGATAAGCTCGACTTTCAAGGGTGTAGTCTACTCGAACTCAAAATCTCGAATACTAGCCCATTTGGATCCATCGGATCCATTAAAACCGGATCCAGCCCAAGATCCGATTTTTGTGGATCCGATCGGGCGTCGGTTCTAGCTCAGATCCGGCGGATCCGGTAGTCCGATATCCGGATCCGACCATCACTAATAATTAACAATGGTTGTAGTTTGCTTGTTCATGGATAAATATATTTTTATAAAATTTGGATTTTTTTAAATTTCATAACAATTTATTGACATTTTTATAAAAAGACACTTTTTTACCTTCCCTGTAACAGCTAACTTAATTAGTTAGATACTTAATTCCATTTAAAAAGGGGATTAATATGAAATTTTTTAGTAAATCTTTTTTAGAGAAAATCAAACTAGGCAAATGGAAATTTGCTAGTCTGCAGGTTTGCTGCGGCAGAGTTATTTCTTAACAATATTCTTTGTTGTAGTACAGTGTTTCGCTAATTTAAGTTGAGGTTGAGTGAGATGTGATTTTGAACATGGGAGATTGATCTAATAAATGCAAGGTTAATGACTTATAGTAATATTTTCATTGTTCAATATTAATATTTACACACTATTATATTTGTTTATGGTTACTTGTACAGTTACAGTAATGGTGTCAACATTGTCACATTTTATTTAGGCTAAGTAAATTATTAATATCCGTGTTATTGACAAAATTTTAGATTCCTGTAAATTCATGCCAAGACAAAATTCCTGTATGATTTCTGCAATTACCTTTGCATGGACACCCTGAAAATAGCTAATGTTATTGATGATTGACACAATTTATGAGGGGACCAAAGCTTTGCACTATACCAATAGACCAGCTGAATTCCAAAGCTGTTACAGAAATTTTCTTTTAGTCAAAAAGTATAAATTCACAAAATAAATAAATTCTAATGGTACAGTTCTCGCAGCTAGTCTGGGCGCGCGGCCCCGCTATGGCAGGGGGTGCAGAGGGGAGTGTTTATTGCTCGTTTCCAAAAACATTCGGCCCACACGGCACACTGGGGTTGTTCAGTGCCTCACTGCTGTCTTCATGGCTTTGGCGTGGGGGACGGTTAGTACACAAGGGTCCGCGCGCCCAGACTAGCTGCGAGAACTGTACAGTCTAACCTTGATATAACTAACCTCAATATAACGAATTCCTTGATATAACAAATTTTTTTAATCCCCTAAAACTCTCCATAAGACACAATGTATATTTTACCTCTACATAACCATAGACAAAATGAATTAAATATAGACTGTCAGCCGTGCTGCGGTTACCATGGTTACCATGAGTTTGGGCGCACACCGCTGTAGTTTACGTAGCGCGTACGCTGTAACTACCGTGGCGATCCCAGCGGGGTGCGCCAGAACCTATGGTAACCGCAGCACAGCTGACGGTCTATATTTAATTCTTTTTGTCTATGACATAACGAACAAACCATATCAACGACCTTGATTTAACAAGTTTTTCATGATCCCAGCTAAAATAAGACACCTCAATATAACAAATTTATCATTGTCAGAACCTCTACATAGCGAATTTAACCTCCACTTAACGAATGTCTGCTTCTCTCCCTCGATACAACAAACCCCCCACCCCCATTATTGTTTTTGAAAAATCAGTTTCTTCATCAAATAAAATGGAAAGGTGAAGTCAACAATTGCACTAACATTCGTCTGCTCCATTTTAACACATCCCTGTCTGCTGTCATCGCTCACGCGTGCTATGTTCCAACTGAACTGAGAACTGATTTCATTCACTGAGGACTGATGACGACGTAATGTTTAGTAAAATGTGATTGGGTGATAAGTAAATATGGTTAAATTGTACAATTTTTGGATGAAGATAAACCTAAGAAAGAAAAAGAATAGAAGAACAAAGCAAAGAGAAAGAATAGCAACATCGTTATCTTAACATTCCTTTTACGAGTGTTTTTACTATCTTTTAGTTGGCTATGATTATACACTTTTATAATTACTTATCTAACATTTTTATTATTTTCAATACGATTTGTTTAAACTAAGGCAACACCAATGCTATAGTTGATGATTATCACAGTATTGACATTCCTCTGTTGTGATTTAAAGCAGTACTGTAGCCTACCGGTCTATCACGAGCATTAGCTTAATAAACTCTCTACTGTTTTGTTTTGTTCTTTACATGGTTTATTGCTATACAATACAGTGTTTGGCTAGGTTTTAGGTGGGTTAGAGTAAGCTGTGATTTTAAACTTACAGTTTGTAACCTGTCCCCGGTACCAAGGTCAATGACTAGAAATGTCATGATTGCGCAATATTAAAGATCCCTTCCCTTTATTACCCCGGATAATCAACGTTCTACTTTACAATGTAAACACTGTACACTGTAAAGTATTGTAGCCTATGCTACTTTAATTGAGGTCCAATCCCGACCTATATTGACTGATGCTGGTTCTGAACCTCGACTTAGCGAAATTCCTGCAAACCTAACCTCAATATAACGAACCTCGTTTTAACGAAATCCTTGATATAACGAATATTCAGTTCGGTCCCTTCAGATTCGTTATACCGAGGTTGGACTGTATATGCGATGGAAAAAATTGGACCTTTTCCATTAATTCACTACCACTAGAGGAATATGGTTAGGTTAGGTTAGGTTTTTCTAACTCTATACTAAACTATACTAACCTAACCAAAGTTTAATTCACTACCACTTCTATTGCTAAAAATATATTGCTCTAAAAACTAGTGGTAGTGAATTAAATAGAACATGTTCAACTAGCTTAAGTTTGAGACAGTGGCGGATCCCGAGGCATACATATACATATATTTTTTACTGCATGTAATACAGTAGTGCATACACATTGCATAAAATAATTTGTCACACTAACTTTGGACAAAAAAAAATTGTAAAAAACTGCCATTTTGGAGACTTAGTTTACACAAATTTTTAGATAAAAAAGACAGATAGCTGGACCATATCCATCTGCTCTTTAGATATTTTTCTGTGTAAATGTACCTACCGAAATCGGCAATCTTCACATGCAGGTTATGATCCAGGAGGAGATTTTCTGGCTTGAGGTCTCTATGAACAATCATGTGTCTGTGACAATAGTCCACTCCGGAGATTATTTGTTGGAAGAATCGCCTCGCTTCAAACTCCTTAAGCTGGACAAATGATACAAGTGTGACAATACTGAATCCTGCAATATGTTAGGCCTATTTACCTATTAAAAACTACCATTTTACTCAAACAAGAGGTGTATTATGTAATTGATAAGGATACAGACTTTTGGCACTCAATAGCTTCAATGATACAATGTATAATTAATTGGCTTGCTAGAAATCCTTTTTCCAACATAGACAAATTTTTAAACTGTGATACAAATCGTAGTTTTGTCTTAATTTAGCCTTTTTAAATTAAGACAAACTGTGATACCTATTTAGCCTATCTAACTGTTTAACTGTTACACATATTTTTCCAGCCAAATGATTCTTAAAAATGTAATTTTCAGTCTCATTTCTCAATAGCTGTTTTAATTTTAATTCAACTACGGTATCTATGTTAACGTTATTAATAGTTTACTCTCTGTAAGCCTATTTATATTAAAATCTCAGTCATGTCTATTAATTTATATAGCTACAATAGTATTTCTATTATTTGTATCTATTGTTGACAATTGCAATGCCTTCTTTTGACATTATCTATACACAGTATTTTGTGTTTACATGATAGGCCTAATAAAGGTTGATTTTATTTTATTTGAATTTTACTGAGTTTTTGACTGTGCTAACAACTTTAGCACCAAGCCTACAGATACGGTACGTACACAGCAGAGGCTGAATGTACGCTGATAGCCGGGATGATAGCTTAAGCAGGAAACCCAGACCTGGTGCACGCAGACTGGAGGAAAGTCAGATACGACGTCCGACAACAATGCCCCAGAGAGCAATGTTGTCGTGACGTGTCAGATCGGAAGGTGCCGGATCGGAGAGCGTCAGATTAGTGGGTTACAGTCCATTGAAAGCCATGCAAAGTCATTTTATCGGAAGGTGTCGGAGACTTGTTGGAAGGTGTCGTGTCGGAGATGTCGGACTAGTGGGATCCTGCTTTACTGCTATGTAAATATTCTCTCACGTAGTTGACAACATACTAGCACACAGTAAAGCCTGGATGGTTACCAGGATGGGCGTAGGGAGCCAGGATGGTTGGAAATATAATTGCTACCCTGATTGTTACATAGCTGAAAGCAGAGTTACGAGATGGCCCCTGGAACTTGGCCTAGAATTTTTTTTAAGGCGTTACTGAGCCAGCAAACCATTGAAAACATACACTCAAAGGTTTTAACATATTTAGCCAGAAAATTAAATAGCCTTATGCAATTTTTTTTAAATAAACATATATTTTGATTATAACCAACACCTTTTGACAAATTATTTCTTGGATTATTGTTGGTAATTTATTAAACTAATATTTTTTGTGTATTAATTCGTTAATTTTCAATTACTATTTTTATTCAAACTTTAGGTAATAAAGTACTGAATTGTATTCAAATATACATTTTAAAATAAACAAATACATTTTGCTAATAAATACTGTATTATTTACAAACACCTTTTTCTTCTTTAAGTTGGTAAGACATTTATTATTAGAAACACTTCAAATTAATAAACCGTTTTAAAAATCAAAATTCAAAATTGATTACAGAACAAGAAATAACTCATTTGTTTTGGTTTGATACAAAAAATACCCAACAAAAATCCGCAACGAATAAACAAATATCACAAAACAGGAATCACGAATCTACCGAATTAATAGTAAAGCCTGTTCTAAACTTTATATTGGACAAACAGGGGGACCAATTTCTTGACGCTTTAAAGAACATATTTAGGCAGTGAAAAAAAGCAACCAAACAAGTAAAAAATCTATATACACTGAACATATCTTATCTCATAACCATAATTTATGGAAAATTAAAGGAAAGTGTCAACATTTTAGAGTATGATCAAAAAGGAGAAAAGATTAATGTTAAAGAATAACTGCACATAATATCCAGTAATACGCCTAGAACTTTCAGCAAACTTCACTCAACTCCGCATTGTATTTTTGGCCAACTGGGGTCCATCTTGTGACTCGACTACAGTATGTGGAGTGGATCAGGCACCATTCACCTATTACGTTTTGTATGAATCACGGTATACAATGCCTGCTGGCATAGTGCGTTGCAGTTACTGTAAGTGATCCGCTTTGGTTTTCTTGAAATGTTGAAAAGACTCTCAGCCTTGAACCAGAAATTCTGACAATCCTGTCTCAACTCCACGAGCAAACTTTGAAACTCAATGCACATTTTTTCTTTCCAAGTTCACAACTCAAAAAGCAAATGTACTTTTGAGAAATAACAAATAACCCTTCCATCATGAAGACTTAATCTTTTATTTGTCATCATATGGTTTTTTGATATTAAATTACAAAATGCAACTAAGTAAGTAAGTGCAGAGCGTCAACATGTTTTTTGAAATGACAAATGTAATCAAAACAAGAAGGCTAAAACTACAGATTACACTTCAAAATCTATCACAAATGGCCCAAGGGTGAGTCATAAAACAAGACTAATGTCAGGTTATATTTTTTGGCTTTTTAAACGTTCAAATGTACAATTTAAGGAGGCAATTTAAGCAGCACTTTACTAAATTATTAATTTGTAACTAAGAACTAGGTCTATATCTGATATAACTGAAATTTAACACCAGTTACCTTTCCATGCTTAACAATATAATCAAACAGCTCGCCACCAGACACATATTCCATAATCATGAAGATGTCAGTAGGGGTGCTTATAACTTGGTACCTGTAACATCAGGCATATATTTAAGACATACCACAGTAGGCCTATCGTTACTAGCCCATATTTGAACCTTAAGGAAAATAGCACCAACCAAAATAGCCTATTTCCCATATTGACCCCCATTCACTGTTTTGTAGAGCTTAAAAACAAATAATTTAAAATTTAGTATATTAAAGTGCTGTTGACTTTGAGTGTGGCTTACACGTCATTGTCACTGCGCGACTGCTACTCTGTCAGCTGTGTAACGGCATTGTCAGCCCTCAGCTACCTAGCAGCAAAGGCAATGACAATAACAAACAGTGGATTCATAAAACCAGAGCTCATTGTAATGAAGGAAACAATAAGAAGGATAAGACACAAAAAACAAAACATGCACCTATATACACAAACAGCTTTGACATATTATTATCTTCTGAGACCAATGATACAGTAGACATAGTTTTGCAATATAATCTACAATCATGTGTTAAAACTATAGCAAACCATAAGTCAAAGAAGCAAACCCTGATAACAAACATACAACATAGAGACAATCATCTAGTTAGTAATGCCAGAGAGGGAAAGCGCAACATCTTAATCTTGGCAGATAGTCATGGAAGGGATATTTACTTGTACTTGACAAAGATTTGGCCTAACAGAGTAGATAATATATGCAGCATATACAAGCCTAACGCCAAGCTCAATGGGGTTACAGAGAACCTTGTAACACTTACAAAGTCATTCAGATCAGAGGACTACGTTATTATTGTAGCCGGAACTAATGATGGAGGAGATGATCTCAGTGATGACAGCTCTGCTGGACCTCTACTTGATGCTTTTAAGAAGATTATTGATATGACAGCGCACACTAATTTGATTGTAGCAGAATTACCATACAAGTATCATGCTGCCCAACTAAAAAACAGAGTTACTTGCTTGAAAATGGAAATAGAGCAGGTGGTAAATAATGCTAAGCATGCTGTTCAGTTGCCACTAGGTGACCTCTCCCGTACGCTGTACACAAAATACGGCCTTCACTTCAAAAGACTGGGCAAAAAAAAAATTGCTTACATGTTGCGAGATATTTTTATCCACAACCCCAAGATCCATCTTACAATGAGTTGACAGTTGAAGAAGACATGGTTAATGTTAGGGACGAAAATATGGAACAAACTTTTGAAACGTATAAAGCTGACTCCACAGTTGCGTTTGCTCATACTATTTCTGCTGACATAAACTGTAATAGAAACATGAGCGCCGGAGTGGCAGTTACATTTAGACAAACATTCGGAAGGCCAAAAAAGCAGATTTCATCGATACTAAATTAACTTGTCAGGTGATAAATGAGGGTGCCAGCATTTTTAGTTTGGTGACAAAGCCTGAGTATTTTCAAAAGCCAAAATACAGGGTGGTAAAAAAGTCCCAGGACAGTTAAATATTTAAAAAAAATAATGCAGATAGAGCTACAATACTTGGTACAAAGTTACAGGGCATAAAACTCTATTTTAACACATATTCAGTGATCCAATAACTCTTCAGGGGGACGGCCCACAATGAGTCGGAAGAAAATCTTAAATGAAAGCATAGGTCAATATGCACATCAAATTACAGGTCTTTTTTAGTAGAATACAATGCCGCAAACCGCACTTCAAAAGGTTGATACAGCGCAAAATGGCAGATGTTCAAAGATTTCTTGAATCCGCCATTTTGAATCTTTGAACGACTGCCATTTTTTACTCAGGCATTCTTTTGAGCTTGAATTTACGGCATCGTAATCTACTAGTAAAGACCTTTAATTTGATGTGCATATCGACCTATGCTTACGTTAACAGATTTCTTCCGATTCCTAGGGCTGTGCCACCTGAGGAGTAAGCGTATAATAACAATGTAAATTAAATGAATCTTTGAACAACTGCCATTTTGCGCAGGATCAACCTTTTGAAGTGCGGTTTGCGGCATTGTATTCTACTAAAACAGACCTTTAATTTGATGTGCATATTGACCTATGCTTTCATTTAAGAATTTCTTCCGACTCCTTGTGGGCCGTCCCCCTGACGAGTTATTGGATCACTGGATATTTGTTAAAATAGAGTTTAATGCCCTGTAACTTTGTACCAAGTATTGTAGCTCTATCTGCATTATTTTTTAAAATATTTAACTGTCCAGGGACTTTTTACCACCCTGTATGATGATTACAAGGAAGTTTTTTCATAGCTCACAAAACACTTTAAAACCCGAAATCTAAAAACCTTGATTTGTTCGCCGATGGGCTGCGTGCGAGATCACATTAAGCTTCACCAGTTCATCTCAAATGTCCTAAATTTCATAATCAGACAGGAGCTAGAATCATCATCATCATCTCCCATGACCAGAACTCTGATCGAGTATTGAGAAATGGACTGTCTCACTCAGCTTTTCTGTCAAGACTTTGCAAGGAAATACAGAGGCATACAAAGTTGACAGCTACTGAGCAGGATGCTGCTATGTCTGAAGCTGTGGCAACTCCAGGTCCATCACCCAACCATGACCATCCAGCATCACAGAGGCCAGACGATGATGTGCCTACCCTGGCCAGCCTCAACACCTTCCCTCCACTCATCCCATCACACCATCAGTTACAGCATAGTGAAAAAGTGCAAAACACAAGTGCAAAAGTGGCATTGAAAAGCAGAGTACAAGTGGTAACTACAAGCAGAGTACAAGTAGTACTAATAGTAAAAATATTTTTTTACAGAAATAGATAATTTTACTGATGCACATGTCAAGTTAGGGTCTGATAGTTAATTGGAAAAAGATATGTATTTATTACATTTTAACATTCAGGGTTTTCTAAATAACTATGTAGATCTTAGTCTGTTCATTGAACATATGGATTGCAAAATTAATGTTATATCTATAAATGAACATTGGCTTCATGATAAAAGCATAAATGTTTTAAATAAACTAGATGGTTTTGTAATTGCTGACTACTAAGCTAGAATAGAACAATGTAGGGGGGGGGGGGTTCATGTTTAATGATTGACAAAAATGTTAGTTTTAAAATTAGAAATGACTTAAAATTTTTAAATGAACAATGTTGTTTTGAAGGATCTTTTATTGAAGTCAAGGACTGGAATTCAGTTTTTATTTCAGTATACAGGATTCCAGGTAGTGACATAGGTAAGATATTTTTAGAGAAGTTTGAAATGTTATTAGACAAAATAGCTTTGGAAGCAATGTCAAAAAATGTTTTTATAATGTCAGACACAAATATAGATTTATTAACCGATAAAGTAAGTACTGATAATTTACTAGAAATTTGTGATGGTTTTGGATTCAAACCTAATGTTTTTGTTACAACTAGGGTAACCAGCATTTCAAGTACTTGTATTGACAATATTATTTCTAACTTGCAGACAAAAAATACTAGCAGTTTGGTTTTAGACATAGGTGCATCAGACCACAATGTTTTACTTTTGTCATTTGAGAAAATGTCCTCTCCAAGACTTAAGGGTGTAAATAAAAAACTTACTTTGAAGTTTACAGAAACAAATTTTCAAACCTTTGAAAACACACTACACAATGTTAATTGGAACCCTTTTGAAACCTTTAATGTAGATACAAATTACAATAAATTTCTTACACACTTTCTAAATTCATTCAACGAGGCATTCCCCAAAACAGTAGATCGTCCAAAGAATAAACGTAACAAAAATAACTGGATAACAACAGGAATAAAAATTTCAGCAGAAAATAAAAATAAGTTGCACCAAGAATCAAAATGGAATCGTAACCCTCAGTTTTTAATCTATTACAAAAACTACAGAAAGGTCTTTAAAAAAGTAGTTGCATTAGCAAAACTGAAAGCTAATGACGATTTTATTAAAACATCTAAGAATAAAAGTAAAGCACCTTGGGGTAGTAGTGAAAAATGAAACAGGGCTTAATAAACAAATATCTGATACTCCAGTTGAGATTAAATTCAAACATGAAAGGGATAAACAAAATTGTGCAGTATCGGTAGCAAATAAATTCAATAATTTTTTTATTAATGTTTCTCAGTATGCCAACCAATCAAAAGATAAATTAAAAGCACAGTTACTAATCGAAAATCAAAATTTAGAAATGTTTCAATTGACGAGTTAAGAAAAGTTGTTACATCTCTCAGTAACACTAAGTCCTCAGGTTGGGATAAAATTCCTCTTTTTGTCATTAAAAGAGTTTTTAAATTTATAGAACATCCATTATGCCAAATAATAGTAAATCAGTCCCTTGAGGAGGGGGTTTTTCCTAATAAGTTTAAGTTTGCTGAGATTAAACCCCTGTTCAAAGAGGGCGATGTCAACGATCCCTCTAACTACCGCCCCATCACCCCCCCTTCTGCCTTGTTTTTCACAGATTTTTGAAAAAATTGTAAAGATTCAACTAACAGAATATTTAGAAAGCAATAATTTAATAAATCCTTCACAGTTTGGTTTCCGCCTAGAACTCGGTACTGAAGAATCCATAACAAAAATGATTAACTGCATTGCGGGAGCCTGGGATGGATCGCAGAAGACTGTGGGTGTGCTATGTGACCTATCCAAGGCTTTTAACTGTGTGAATCATGAGATACTCATAGAAAAATTAAGTATGCATGGAATAAAAAATACTGAATTAAAATGGTTCATATCATATTAAAAAAACCGAAATCAAACACTTATTGTACAAAAAATGCAGAGAAATTATAAATCAGAGTGGAACATTAACCCCAATGGAGTTCCTCCGGGCTCTATTCTTGGCCCTTGTTTATTTATTATATATGTTAATGATCTAGGCAATGCTACTAAGATGTCCACCTTTCAATACGCAGATGATACCGCTTTAATTTGCACAGGACAAAACGAGTTCATACAAGCCTCAATAACTCAGGAATTTCAACTCCTCGGGGACTGGTTTGCAGTAAATGGCCTGTCCATGAATGTGGCAAAAACTCAACTAGGCCTAATTCAGTTTTCTGCATCCAATATTAACCAAAAATAATTTTAAATACAAACTTAACTACA